CATACCACCACACCATCATACCACCACACCACCATACCACCTCACTTTAATACCACCAAACCATGATACCGCCACATCGTCCTACCACCACACCACCATACCACCTCACTTTAATACCACCAAACCATGATACTGCCACACTACAATACCGCCACGCCACGATAACACCACACCTCCATACCACCATACCACCATACCACCACACCACCAAACCACCACACCATCATACCACCACACCATCATACCACCACACCAACACGCCACGATAACACCATGCCCTCATACCAAACACCACCATACCACGATACCATCACACCACATCATATCACAGTACCACGCCATTAAAGCACCACCACGCCACAGTATCACCACAACACAGCACCATCACATCACAGTAGCACAACATAACAGCACCACCACAACACAGTATCACCACAACACAGCACCACCACACCACAGTATCACCACAACACAGCACCACCACATCACAGTAGCACAACATAACAGCACTACACCACAGTATCACCACAACACAGCACCATCACATCACAGTAGCACAACATAACAGCACCACACAACAGCACCACCACACCACAGCACAACATAACAGCACCATCACATCACAGTAGCACAACAAAACAGCACCACAGTATCACCACAACACAGCACCACCACACCACAGTATCACCACAACACAGCACCACCACATCACAGTATCACCACAACACAGCACCATCACATCACAGTAGCACAACATAACAGCACCACAGAATCACCACAACACAGCACCACCACACCACAGTATCACCACAACACAGCACCATCACATCACAGTAGCACAACATAACAGCACCACCGCACCACAGCACCACCACAACACAGTATCACCACAACACAGCACCATCACATCACAGTAGCACAACATAACAGAACCACGACATGATACGATGATTGTTCAAAAACTTTCAACCATGGGCCATAACAAAGTAAACTAGTTTATGAAGTACATTGGTTGTGCAGTTCCTTGAAAGTGCATGTTGGTCTGTTGGGGCAGTTTGTATATTAGTGACATTTAGATCTTATGAAGGAGGATTTCGTCAAACTCAAAAAGAGATTAGTAACGGGTGATGAAACATGGGTCTACCACTACGGTCAAAACGTCAATCCATCGAATGGCACCGTTCCACATCTCCGGCACCAAATAAATTCAAGTCTTCAAGATCAGTGAGGAAAGTTATGGCTACTGAATTTTGGTATGCAAAGGGTCTGATCCTTGTTGATTACTTAGAAAGTCAAAAAACGATTACCGGGGTCTACTATGCTGATTTGCTTCATCGCCTGCGAGAAAAGCTGCGAGGAATGCTGACTGCTGGAGTTCTACTATTTCATGACAACGCCTCTTCTCACACCTCTCGACTTGCAAAGGCTGCTGTGTGACCGTGTGGTATCGGAGAGCATCCACACCCTCCATACTCGCCAGACCTGGTACTAAGTGATTTCCACCTGTTTCTTTCGTGGAAAGCACTATGACGACAACGATGACATCAAAACTGCCATGAATAGTTTTTTTGGGGGTGGCTTCAGAAAACTCCTTCCTGACCGGAAACTAAAAAGCTTCGCTATTGATTTGAGAAGTGTAGTGAAAAGCAGGGAGATTATGTTGCAAAACAAAATTAGAAACCCTTTCAGATTATTGTTTGTTAGGCTTAGAAATGTTTGACCAGCCCTCGTAATCCCACTACGTCGTCAAGTTGTATCTACTGTCATCAAAATCCGTTCCATTCAAGTAAGGACGCTGTTAATATGCTCCCCAGCGGCGCGCTGTCAAAGATAACCGGATATCTGGTTTGTGTCAGGCTATATTTGATCTCGTGATCTGGAACCTGGATAGCCGCGGTCAACCGACCGGTGTCGTGACTGCCACGTGTGTACTGACAACGCCTTAAATGAATTGTATTATTAGCAGGTTCCTGATCTTAAGGAACATTAACTCTTTTTTTTGGAAATGAAAATCATTATCCATCTTCTCTCTATCCCAATCCAATCTACAGTCTGCCCCGAGAGTTCTTCCTCTTAAAAAACACTTTTTAACCACCACGCCCTCACCTTCAAAACCCCACTCCCTACCACAGTAACACTCACACACATACATCTTGGTGTAGAGAGTTTACTAGATATATTGTTTTAATAATCAGTGTTACACTCATTACCTTCTTGGATTAGAGATGTGGGATGTAGGATTTAGCGAGCGTCTGGGGTCTGTCACAAACAAATAGTACTGGGAGAGGGAGTGAATCCTGGAATAATGTAAATATTGATTGACAGTTGAGAGAGTGAGCGAGTTTGGTTTCACGCCGCTTTTAGCAAAATTCCAGCAATGTTACGGAGGAGACAGCATAACTGGGCTTCACACATTGTACACAGGTGGGGAATCGAACCCGGGCCTACGGCGTGACGAGTGAACGCTGTAACCATTAACCTACCCCACCGCCCGATAGACAGTTGATATTACAGCAAAGAAAGGAACACACGATTTGTTGCGTTTTGATTTCGATAGCGTGGGCTGGGGTAGGGTAAGAGGGGAGAGGCAGTTGGGGTTATGGGGAGAGGGGAGAGGCAGTTGGGGGTAGGGTGAAGAGGGAGAGCCAGTTGGGGGTAGGGTGAGGTGGGAGTGGCATTTGGGGTTAGGGGGAGAGGCAGTTGGGCGTAGGGTGAGGTTGGAGTGGCAGTTGGGGGTAGGTTGAGATGGGAGTGGCAGTTGGGTGTAGGGGGAGTGGCAGTTGGGGGTAGGGGGAGGGGGGGGAGAGGCAGTTGGGCGTAGGGTGAGGTGGGAGTGGCAGTTGGCGTTAGGGTGGGTGATAAATAGTTGTTGATCAGGTAGAGGTCAGGAGGTCAAATATCATGAAACTATTTTTTCTTAAAAATCTCATCCGTTTTTCCATCTTTTTTACAATGAGCCATAGCCTACATAGGAATTGCACACCAAGCAATAACCACATTAGTCTACGCGCCCTTCAGTCTTCGCCTCTTCCCTTGTCATCACCGATCGTTATACAGCAAAGCTCTTCGGTCATTCGTCACCACTCGCCCCTTTCCGTAACCTACAAGAAGACTCGTCCCTATAGATGAATGTCATGTGCAAAAATACGGCAAACCAATCGGAATACGCGTTTGGCCTCAATTACTTAGGTCAAAGAATCCCTCAGAAATAATTTTTGCTTTTACATATCTCCTATATTTAAAAATGTACTCAAGATACATTTCAATGTGTTCAACTATACTGTATAATAATGTAAGTCCCGATGTGTTTTCAATAGCATCAGGAATATATAATATGATAATAGGGGAAATATACGTGAATTATTACGCAACGAGTTGCCAATTCTTTTAGCGATGCCCGTTTGCGCTTAGACGGAACCCAGTCGCAAAAATAGCCACGAGAGAGGCGCTATTCGGCTTGTCCCAGAATAACACGAGTTGGTCACGAATGCTAACGTCACACAACTACCCGGATGTAAGCTTCTATGAATAGTCTTCCACTGTGTTGACCACAAGCCCCAGGGACAGACGTTTGAAACCCCGTCTATCAAATCACATTATAGAAATACAGCTATAGTTTTGGATATACGACACGGTTTCAATCCACTGGAAGAAAAGGTCTTAATTTCCACATTCCCTGGATATTTGAAGAAAGTAAAGACGGTATTGACCAAGTCTGTCCTGTCCATTTGTATCAATAAAATATCTAAGACGACGCGACTCTGATTTTTCGGAAGGACGCCGAATGCCGCAGTTTGTCAAGCTCATATATACGGTTTCTTTGACTTGCTTGTTGTTCGAAACACAGAGGTTATGCCGGCCATTCTTTAGAGACTAACACAATCAGTCGAGCCATTACGCGTTGTGATTAGTGAACAGTTATAATGGCATAGCTATGTTGGTCGTAGAATATATCATTAATTGATGTGTTCATACGCGTCCTTTGCTGACATCTAGTGAATCAATTTTAGAATGCATAAATGCGTTTGCATTTATAGTATTAATATCGTTCCTGTCTACGTCACTACACCAAAAATGTGTTTGAGGAGTTGGTAATGGTGTGTGAGCTTAACGTCATATGTATACAGTATGTCATTTAATTCATGGCGTGCCAGTCTGATTGAAGTGATGCTGATCTTCGACCTTTACATAGTTGGTGAAGCCCATTGGAACCAGAATGGTGATGAAAAACCAATATTCGTAATGAGAGCATTCGACATTACGATCCTGGCACACCTAAGGGACGTAACTCTACATTGCAAATTGCGGCTGGAGAGACTGTTTCCCTTAATAACAATCTAAAATCGACAATTATGTTCCCGAACAGTGTTTCTCAAAGGAGATTTACCACAGCTACAGTATGGATTTATTACTCTTATTAATCTCGAAGTCTTAAGCTTCGCCTTCGTACGTTCGTAGTCCATTTCACGAGGCAAGGGCGTTCACTGACTATTAAAGTATAGTTTCCACCATTGCCGAACTAGACTGGAATTTCCAGGCTCGATTGTAGCGCCACCCGTGGTTATTACGAGTTACGTCCCTTCTATATCCCTCGTACTGACCAATCAGATTCCACCTGTCACACCACTTGTTTCAATCAAAATGTCGGCGCCCACAGTCAAGACGATCTGATCGATAATCAAGATCTATATTGTAATAAAATGGGCCTGATCTCACGAAGTGCATCAAATCATTGGGGCACCTTGATCAAAAACATTAAAATATCTGTCGACGCCCAAATCGTTCAGTCGACCGAAATCCGGTTGATTTCGAACCGGATGTCTAGTTCGTTAAGCTCGTTAGCCCAGCCAAAATGTAACTCTGGAATTCCAGCCTAGTTCGGCAAGTGTGGAAACTGGACATTTAAGTCAGTTAACACCCTTGCCTCGGGAAGATGTACGTAGTCTAGCCGTTCCAATTGCCTCTCCATCGCGCCCACTAAGCTTGTCTTTGTCTTGCAGTCCTTCAACGATGACCGACAGCTGTACGAGACCAACCTTGAGTGGGACGCCGCTCTGTCCAGTGCTCACTCCAGCCATGACGTATTTCTACAACTGCAGGAGGCTAACAAAGAGGCTGACGGGGCGTGCGACTTCGCCTGCAGGGGGTGTTCGGTTATATGTAAAAGTAGTAAGTACTACGTTGTTGTAAAACGCGGTTCCTGCAAGTGGGCGGTTCTGATAGCGTGAGTTCCAGATAATTTTCATTTTCTAACAATTCCCCACGAGCGTAGACTTTATTTCCCTTGTTCAATGTTGTTTCTCTGCAAAAATCTAGTGGATAGCGCGTTGTCTCACCACAAGGACAGGGACGGTAGGTGGCCTAGTGGTTTAAGCGTTCGCTCGTCTCACCGAAGGTCCGGGTTCAATTCCCCCATGTGTACAACGCATTAAGCCTATTTCTTGTTGAGGAATTACATTAAAAATCATGCTTCGTATGCCGTCGATGTTCTGAAATCAAAAAATACATGAAGTCGTTAATCATATGCTGGTGTTGTTCTGAAATAGGGGAAATACATAAAGTCGTTAATCATATGCTGGTGTTGTTCTGAAGTAAAGGAAATACATAAAGTCGTTCATCATATGCTGGTGTTGTTCTGAAATAAAGGATATACACAAAGTCGTTCTTCATATGCTGGTGTTATTCTGAAATAAAGGAAATATACAAAGTCGTTCATCATAATTATGTTGGTGTTGTTCTCAAATAAAGGAAATGCATGAAAATGCATGCTTCATATGTCATTGTTTTTTCTCAACTAGAAGAAAAGCATAAAATAGACATCACGCTTCGTTTGTTTCCGTTATTCTCAAATAGAGAAAATATATCAAAGTATTTTTCATAATCATGATATTGTGTTCCCAAATTGAGATAATACACTAACAAGTTTGACCCAATGTTTGGTTTTGCTTCAATATGAATGATTAATGCGTTTAATCCCACCATTGTGGAAATACATAAACATGTATGGTTCATGGACTATTATTTGCATTTCAGCCCTTGTGACCGGGATACTGGGGCTCTCTATGGTACTTCCAATAGTGATGTTATCAATGGGTAAGTATTGACCTGTATGTCACTCTAAACATGAAGACCTCCTATTGCTCTAAAGTAGCCCTATAAGCACGCGAAGCATGATTCTCCCTGTCGTGGATTTTCTGTGGAGAGTTGCGTCCCTTAAACGTGCAGGATCCTGTTAGCAGTTGGTTTATCCTTTTTGTCCTGATTTTGAGTCTAGTTGGTCAGCAAGACGCTCGTGCTTGTGGATTTCATTAAAGAGCTACGTCTCTTGGGGACTTGCTGCGATATTAAACTAACACGCCGTGATATATGTGAAATACTATTCAAAGCGGCGTAAAACACAACTCACTCACTCATGTAGCAAGCATTGTGTGTTTATCCTGATTTGTCCTAATTTTGAGTCCAGTTTATCAGCAAGACGCTCGTGCTTGTGGACTTCATTAGAGAGCTTCATCTCTTGGGGATTTGCTGCGATATTAAACTAACACACCGTGATATTTGTGAAATATTATTCAAAGCGGCGTAAAACACAACTCACTCAGTCATCTAGCAAGCACTGTGTTTCAACAAGTTATTTCGGACACACATGGAAGATAAGATTCCCGGTGCTTTAAGTGACGCGTAGATTATTGCGAGACCCATCGACGGATGTCATTTGGTCCAACATTAAGTAGTAGAGACGCGTGTCCTCACTCCACGCCTGGCGGTCCCGACTGATGGAAATCTCTAGATTAGCGATGGATACGGAAAACGAACGAAAACTCCTATTACAATAGGGTTCCGTTTTCTCTAATCTTGAACTCTCTGATATTGGATGACCACACGTTCAAACCATGTCTGTCCTAACGCTTTGGTGTGAATCTCTTTGGATGACGGCGAGTAGTTTGAACGAACCGGAAGTCTGGTAACATTTCAGGTAGCGAAGCCATATCCTCCACGAGACAATTTCCTGCCTCGAATGGTAATCCTATCCTTAGTCCCCCGTCTGTCCCACTCGCGCATCGCTCCTCCCATGCAGCCGCAGACCCCCTCCCCCTCTCTGTCACAGTGAGGACAAGGTGTTAGCCCCCCAGGTGCATGGACAGGATCATATCAAAGGGATCACGGGATGCTGAGTCAATCAGGAGTCTAGCACATCAGCTTGATGAGCAACAGCAATGTGTTACGAACGTCAAGTTGACATTTTCCTACAATCACTATACAAAATTATCGTAATCAAGTTAAACAGTGGCACGGACCATACCAATTAAACAATAATAATATACGACGTTCATTGACGAAGTAAGGCACTCGTTTAGCTGTATTTGTGAACTTGTAAGGCGTTGTGTCTTGCTGTTTAAAACAAAATAGATTAACATTGGCTTTTGCGATGTTTTCAATGACCATTTGACGTTTGCAATGTGAATAATCAACCTCCCGCCTCAACAAACTGAAGCAGGACTGTTCTGAATTTAACACTGAGGCTCCACAAGACTGTATGACAAGAGAGATGACTTCAACTTTCCAATAGTCAACTTTCACATTATGCCGAGTAATATCCCAACAACTTCAGCCTTGTCGACATTTCACAACTTTTGAGGTACAATCGAGCATGCCCTTTCCACGAAGACTTCAAAGAGCGTCATACGATTCTTGCTCAAAAGTTGTTTGATCAGGGTTATAACATTCAAGGACCCATTAAAGCTTTCAAAATGTTTTACGGTAGACATTTCCAAATTTGATGCACCGGTGACAAAAATGATTGCCAATTTTGACGTATACCATTTCCTTCCCGTATGTTCTAAGGTGAACAATTGACTTACCTTTCCAGCGCGGCATGTGTTTGTGACGTGTGAAAGCGGTGGGGCAGGATATGCGCACCTTTTCGTGAACAACTGGTATCATCGCTATTTGATAGTTGATGCATGAGCACATGTGCTTAAAATATGGCCGGGGTCGTACAATGCACTCTGCTTTAAACAGAGATTTCTTATTGGATATGCTTTCCTTGCCTATCTTGTATTTATTCTTATGATTGAGTCGCATAAATCGACATAGGGTAGGCAAGAATGTGTAAGGAAAAGCAGCGATTAGACGCAAGAACTGTTTTATAAACCTATGATCTAAACATCTACATCTTCCCTAGTCAAGGAAGTTAGCTGACTATAAAACTCAAGTTTCCACCCTTGCTGAACAAGGCTGGTATTATGGAGTTATATTTTGGCTAGACTAGAGTATATCCATAGTCCGATCAAATTCGCGTAACGAAATCAACTACCGGTTTATAAACAACATGGGGACTGCCGTACAGGATCCGGTCGGTTGCACAAAACATGTGTACCGTCAACTGGGCGTCGACAGATATTTTCCAAATCTTTTCGTTTGTAATCAAGGTGCTCAAGAGATAGGGTGCCCTTCGTTTGGCAAGATCCGTTTTATTACAATAAAGATCTTGATTATCGATCACATCTTCTTGACAAGGGGCACTATTTTGTTTGAAGCGTGATATGAGAAGTGGCATCTGATTGAACAATATGAGTGACATAGAAGGGACACAACTCGAAATAGCCATTGGTGGCGCTACGATCGAGCCACGAAATTCCAGCCTGGTTCCGCAAGGGTAGAAACTGGACTTTAATAGTCAGTTAATTCCCTTGCTTCGGGAAGATGAAACGTCTCAGATGTTCTTGGGTACTCCTCCCCAATTTGATTGAAGCATAAAAACGATACACGGCTCACATACTAGCGTGTTTGTCTTGGTAAAGTTTCAATAGGACTTCATTCCGGAAAAGTATCACGCCGGGTTAAACGTCCAATATGATCAGGAATGTCATTTACCGAAAGCATGAGCATTATGGGCTTTTGCTCATACTTTCAGTCACTGGTTTGTCTACAGTACAACGTCCTGTATGTGGAACAACATTCACTTCACGATGCGCAACGGTTTTTACTGCTCTAAATGACAAATTGATTTGGACATGACCGTCATGCCTTGCAATTGCCTGACAGTCAAAATCCTGTGTATTGTGCAGGAACTCGTTCACGAACCGATGATCACACATTGCTAGATCTATCCGCTCCCGAGATTAATGTCATTGACATTTTCAGCCTGTAATCTGGTACAGGGGATTAGATGAAACACAAGAAACGTTCTAGTGCCACTGTCTGCTATTGGTTATAACCTTTGAAGGACATTCCATGTTGAACTTGTCTCTAGTCAAGGGAAAGGAACTACTTTGGCATTTACCGCGGAATAATCTGCCATGATGGTAGTGCAAACTGTTCAAGCATCATGGCGCAACATAGTCAAGTCTTCAAAATGAGATCTAAAACGCAGTAAGGTAAAACAAATTAATTACTTGTTCGTCGGCATTTGGTACGTAAGTGAAGATCGTGTAGACTAATGGATATTAAATCATATTTATTATGACAGCGCATTCTTCGGAAAGGGATTTGCTTGGCAGTAAATATTGACACAGATGGATGACCATGAATGGCCATTAGCGTTCTTTGTGTGTCTGACCTTGGTTTTCTGTTGTGAGTCGAAAATTTTGGAAACTAAATTAAAGGAAATTGTTCTTTATATGAAATAAATGTTTTAAAAAAGAAGTGATTTCAAAGAACAAGTGACAATGTTTGGTAGTCTTTATGCATTTTAGTGTGATGCGGTCTTGCACCAGCGTTGATGGAGCGGATCAATATTTAGGCGTTGTCTGTATCAGTAATGCCACGGTTATTTGTGGCGACATTCGTAGAACTGCTGTAATGGACAGTACTATGACGTCAAGCATGTTAAAGCATGGTCGTGCTGCAATGACAGAAAAACACACAAGTTATAACATGTGTCTGACGCAATGATATAAATGCTCTCTGAAGTTATAACATGTAGACCGCTTCCGTGGTCTAGTGGTAGAGCGTCCGCCCGGAGAGCGGAAGGTCCGGGGTTCGATCCCCGACCGCGTCATACCAAAAAACGTTAAAAGATGGCACTTGTTGTTACCCTGTCTGGCGCTCGGCATTAAGGGGCTAAAACAAGGACTGGTCGGGCTAGCACTGAGCTAGCACTATAAATCGGCATCAGTCCGGACTAGTACAAGCAGCCACACAAACACACACACGTACATGCACGTCGCTATATAAGTGCAATAATCTTGGACGCGACGTTAGACCCCATTTCACCTCACCTCACCTCATTATATGTAAGTGAAGCAATGATATATAGGTTCACTGAAGTTATTCAACAGTGTGGGCGGTCGAGTAGCCTAGTAGTTAAAGCGTTCGCTCGTCGCGCCGAAGACCCGGGTTCGCTTCCCGACATGGGTACAATGTGCGGTGTCCCCCGCCTTGATATTGCTAGAATATTGCTAAAAGCGGCGTAAAATCAAACTCACTCACTATTAAAAAGTGTATGAGTGTTGTTTTACGCCACAGCAAAAAATGTTGAACTATAGGACAACGACCTGTAATTAATCGTGTATGAACGAGACAAACCAGTGGTCGATATCATGAGCAAAGTCCCACGCCGACGGGGCACGATGACATCTAATCACCGAACCCAATCCACAGTCGCTTCATACGATTGTGTTTGTTTCTTTCTTGTTTAACGCCCCTCGCAGCAATATCCCAGCTACATGACGGCGGTCTGTAAATAATCGAGTGCTGGACCAGACAATCCAGTGTTTGACAGCACGAGTATCGATCCACGAAATTGGGATACGAACTTGCAATCAACCAGGTCACCGAGCCTGACTATCCGATCTCTTACGTCCTTCATACGTACCCGGAATGTTCATGGGTCGTTTCATACGACAAGCATAGGTTTGCTTGGGATCGATAATTTATTCTAACAAGATTCATCCCTGTTTTATTTTTTTAAATCTTAACTTCCTCCATCAAGTCACTTCACTGCAAGTAACGCTCTGTTCCCGTCACTGAAGATAAGTGCAGTGTTTGCTCAAGCAGGGTTAGACGTGTTTGTTTTGCAAAGAGCAATATTTGATATCATAATAGGTTACGAGTCATGGACGCTAGCTTTACAGGAAGTGTTTCATTTTCATCAGAAACGTGGCTTCTTTAAACAAGAGAAGGCATTAGCTGGGAAAAGACTAATAGCGTTAAATAGAAGTGCATATTTAATCTTTAAAATGATACCAGAGGCCCATGCTGCACGATCTGATTGCGTCCTATCAAAGGAAATGCATTGTGTACGGATGTCGTTATCGATTGAGCACCTTCCATGAAAAGTACATTGACATTTGCCATAGTTTCCGGTGCAGCAGTGCTTTTGCACCGTTGCATCGGGGATTCGATCCGACGTCTTCGGGTAGCCATTGCAGATGTATAAGTAGTTTTTCTACAGTATTTGCATTGTTACATAATTTAGATCATTTACCTTCGTGTTGTTATTTGTATAGAGTCTATGGTAAATACTTCGCTTCCAATACATGAGACACTGAGTTCTAAGACTCTGAGGACTTATTTCAAACTACATAATATTTAACCAAATGTCATGACGCATTACTGACCTTGTACATAAACGGGACTTGTCCAATATTGACTAATTTCTTATTGATTTACTTTTGTATAAAACTGCTGGAAAGTTTTCCATTTTTATTAATATTGCCAGTTCAGATTTTTATTGATTTATCATACACGTGGCTCTGATAATGGGGGCCACGGGTGGCCCAGTCGGCTAAGGCGCCGCGATTCGCTGTGCAGAGTTACGTCCCTTAGGCATGCTAGAAACCTATGATTGTGGGTTCGAATCCCGGTTCGCCCGGTTATGTTTCTAGGTTTGTCAGCACCACACCCGTGCTCCTGGGTTTCACCGAAGTGTAAACGTCTGAGACCTGCATCGCTTCGGGCTTTCCTCCCACATTAAGCTGACACGCCGTGATATGACTGGAATACTGTTAAAAGCGGCGTTAAACCTAACTCACTCACTCACTCTGATAATGAATCCGGTCCAGAATATATCTCCAGCAGTCCATGACTGGTGATTAACGAGGATAGGAAGGATAGGACTACATTTTGCCCCATGCTGTCAATTATGTCTGACTGGTCTACCTATGTTTTAGATCAATATAGACAGAATACAGTTACCTGCAGCGTAAAATAACACTTACTCATTGATCTGCATGCATCACCTGAGAAAGTAAAACAGACATTTCTGTTTGTCAACTGAAGGTTGGGTCAGTTGTGTTTGTTTTTTAACGCCGCACTCAACAATTCAAGATTCATGGCGATAGCTTGTATATAGTCGAGTCTGGACCAGACAAACCGGTGGTTGATATTTTGAAGAATGTTACTCAATCAGCTCGGTCACCGAACCTGACCATGCATCTTCCCGAGGCAAGGGCATTAACTGACTATAATATGACTTCCCGGTCCATTTTAGTCGCCAAGCATAGGCTGCCATGGGTCCATTCAAAAAAGCAATCTCGTGAGGTGTTAGGTGAGTGAGTTGGGTATAACGCCGCTTTGAACAGTATTCCAGTTACATCGAGGTGGGTCATCTTGATGTCGATGAGGAATGAGTGAGTTGGGTTTGAAGCCGCTTTGAACAGTATTCCAGTTACATCAAGGTGTGTCAGCTTGATGTCGATATGGAGTGAGTGAGTTGGGTTTAAATCCGCTTTGAACAGTATTCCAGTTACATCAAGGTGTGTCACCTTGATGTCGATATGGAGTGAGTGAGTTGGGTTTGAATCCGCTTTGAACAGTATTCCAGTTACATCAAGGTGTGTCAGCTTGATGTCGATATGGAGTGAGTGAGTTGGGTTTGAATCCGCTTTGAACAGTATTCCAAGTACATCAAGGTGTGTCAGCTTGATGTCGATATGGAGTGAGTGAGTTGGGTTTGAATCCGCTTTGAACAGTATTCCAGTTACATCAAGGTGTGTCATCTTGATGTCGATGAGGCGTGAGTGAGTTGGGTTTGAATCCACTTTGAACAGTATTCCAGTAACATCACGGTGTGTCATCTTGATGTCGATGAGGAGTGAGTGAGTTGGGTTTGAATGCACTTTGAACAGTATTCCAGTAACATCACGGTGTGTCAGCTTGATATCGATGAGGAGTGAGTGAGTTGGGTTTTAAGCCGCTTTGAACAGTATTCCAGTTACATCACGACATGTCAGCTTGATGTTGATGGGGAGTGAGTGAGTTGGGTTTGAAGCCGCTTTGAACAGTATTCCAGTTACATCACGGTGGGTCATCCTGATGTCGATATGGAGCGAGTGAGTTGGGTTTGAATGCGCTTTGAACAGTATTCCAGTTACATCACGGTGTGTCAGCTTGATATCGATGAGGAGTGAATGAGTTGGGTTTGAATCCTCTTTGAACAGTATTCCAGTTACATCACGGCATGTCAGCTTGATGTCGATATGGAGTGAGTGAGTTGGGTTTGAATCCGCTTTGAACAGTATTCCAGTTACATCAAGGTGTGTCATCTTGATGTCGATGAGGCGTGAGTGAGTTGGGTTTGAATCCACTTTGAACAGTATTCCAGTAACATCACGGTGTGTCATCTTGATGTCGATGAGGAGTGAGTGAGTTGGGTTTGAATGCACTTTGAACAGTATTCCAGTAACATCACGGTGTGTCAGCTTGATATCGATGAGGAGTGAGTGAGTTGGGTTTTAAGCCGCTTTGAACAGTATTCCAGTTACATCACGACATGTCAGCTTGATGTTGATGGGGAGTGAGTGAGTTGGGTTTGAAGCCGCTTTGAACAGTATTCCAGTTACATCACGGTGGGTCATCCTGATGTCGATATGGAGCGAGTGAGTTGGGTTTGAATGCGCTTTGAACAGTATTCCAGTTACATCACGGTGTGTCAGCTTGATATCGATGAGGAGTGAATGAGTTGGGTTTGAATCCTCTTTGAACAGTATTCCAGTTACATCACGGCATGTCAGCTTGATGTCGATGAGGAGTGAATGAGTTGGGTTTGAATCCGCTTTGATGAGTATACAGTTACATCACGGCGTCCGTGGGATGTTGGCATCGGGTGACAGACAGCCATATCAAATAATGACTTTATATACAATCCCTAACTGTTGCCTTGTCTTCTTCAGGTGTGAAGTACCTCAACGACTGTCCCCTTGAACCCCGTATCCCGGTCTACCTGTTAGTGGGCGGGTGTTTCGGCATGCTTAAGCTGACCATCAACCTCTGGCGAGCGATCCAGTCACGAAAAGACGATAGTGCAGACACGTTCTATGACGTAGGAGACAGCGCCGCTCTGACGTCACGCACGTACCGCGTGATGAACCTTCTGTTGAACACATTCCTAATGGTCTGGCAGGTCCTCGGGTCCTACTGGGTGTTCATGTTGTGGGAACCACAATACTCGCCGCGTCTCCATCGCCCAAGCGACTGGTGCGACCGGACAGTGTACATGTTCACGGTCATACAAATCATTGGTCTCTACACATACCTGTGCCTTTGGATTGTCGGGGTGTGTCTTCTGGCTGTTATATATCGGTCCTCGTGTGTTGGGCAGATAGATAATGTATAAACGACTCTATTAAATGCTCAATCACTGGTCAGGTCAGCTTGGTCCTTCCTATGTCGGGCCATCTTCCTGAGGCAAAGGGAGATAACTGACTGTTCCACCCTTGCTGAACTAGGCTGCAATTATGGAGTTATATTTTGACTGGACTAACGAGTCTATGCACAGTCCAATCAAAATCGCGTAACGAAATCGACATCGGGTTCATAAACAACATGAACTTCAACGTGCAGACTTCGGTCGACTGCAGGATTTACAAACAATGTGTACCCTCAACTGGGCGTTGACAGATATTTTCCAAATCTTTTCATATTTTTAATATTTAAGGTGCTCACGTGATGTGATTCACTTTGCCCGGTAAGACCCGTTTTATTACATTATATCTCTTGATCATCGATCAGATCGTGTAGACTGTGCGCCGCCATTTTGTTTGAGGCAAATATCAAGTGAAATGAGAGGTGGAATCTGATTGGTCAATAGGAGGGGCATAGAAGGGACATGACTCGTAATATCCACTGGTGGCGCTATGATCAAGCCAGAAATTCCAACCATGTTCGGCAAGGGTGGAAACTGGACTTTTAAGAGTCAGTTAACTCCCTTGCCTCGGGAGGATGATGTCGGGAAGATAGACAATGTATGAATGACTACCTTTGATGCCCAATCACTGGTGAGGTTAGTTTGAACTTTCGTACGTTGGGCAGATAAATAAGGGATACATGACTACCTTAGATGCTCGATCACAGATCAGCTTTGTCGTTTGTGTGTGGGCAGAGAGACAATATACATGACTACTTGAGATGCTCAATATTTGGTCATCAGCTTCGTCCTTTTCCAGCGGTTCTTCTGCTTTGACACACAGATAATTAACAAACATTTAACTAATATGCTCAATTTCTTGTCAAGTCATATGAATCCCTGTATGTACGGCGGACAATATACAATGTCATCCTTGAATGCTCAAAATCATTGTCAATAAGCTGGGTTCTTTGCTGGGCATCGTATGTGGGTCAGATAGACAATGTATAAATGATTATATAGATGTCCAGCTCCTTGTAAGATGGTGTCCTTGGAGTGTCTTAATTCCCGAGACTGCGACCGAGCAAATGACATTTGCAATCTAAAGCGGTGTGAAAATGATCAAATGCACAGATGATATCATTACGTGTTCGTTTAGTCTCGGTGCTAATGTGTGAAGTGCGACTAAACTGGTAATGGGACGAAGTACAGACAGTATGCTTGCAAGTGTAATTACAACATCTAAGGCATGCCGCTTTGGGCTTTCTTTACAATACACCTACGTTTGTCTAAAGCCGTCAGACGATACATGAACGAATCGCTAGACATCTGGTATAGTTCGGTGTGAAACGTGTTACGCCATCACCAGACGACCTTCACAGCGCCCCTATGTGCTATATTCGACAGATGCGACCTTGAGATACTGTGTAACAAGATGTCCGCCCAGGCTTGGATTAAAAATAAAATAATATTTTTTCCATAAAATGTTTGTGGAAAATGATATTGACTCAGGTTTTAACATAAAAAAATAGATTGTTTGCTGGTGATTCAGGGTGTCCTGATAAAAAAGTGTGTTGTGAAAAAATATTTGTCGGTTTCTCCTTTCAGAGTAAAACGTGTATGTCTTGAAGCAGTGATAGAAAACATATCTGTCATTGACAAAAATCCGTGTACCTAACAAGTACATTCCCTGTTAGATGTTCAACCCACATTGACAAACAGTTTTCTTTTTTACATCTCTGTGAATGGAACTAAACATGGAGTGACCTGTAAACAAGCTCAGTTTTTAACTTTTCGTCAGTGCTGATTGTGTTCGATTGAATTCTTTGCATACTAATTTGCAAACGCATTCTTTTTATCAACGTGGTGTCAGGAACAAGTTGTTTATTGTGTGTCAAGGACGCATCATGTTTCAAGGACGTGGTGGTTACAATGGATTATTAGCCAAGCAAGCACGGGATTATTACGTATCTGGGTCAAGGACAAGATGTGAAACATGTGCCAAGGACAAAGTGATTACTAAGTATCTGATGTCAAGGACATGATGGGAAGCATGTGTCAAGGATAATGTGATTACAAAGTGTCTGTGTCAAGGACATGATGTAAAGCATGTGTCAAGGATAATACGAGTACCAAGCATCAAGGTCAAGGTCAAGGTCTTACGATTGTTGTTTTGCTCGCATTAAGTACAAGCTTCCATTCATGTCTTGTATATCAAGGTCCACTATTTACCAGGTTCAAGTTTGCTTTTGCGTACCTGGTATGTAAAGGTTAAATTGGCTATTTCGTACTTGGTGTGTCAAGGTTAAGCTGGCTATTACGTACCTGGTATGTCAAGGTTAAAATGGCTATAACGTACCTTGTATGTCAAGGTAAAACTAGTTATAACGTACCTTGTATGTCAAGGTAAAACTGGCCATAACGTACCTGGTATGTCAACCTTAAACCAGCTATAACGTACCTGGTATGTGAGGTAAAACTAGCTATAATGTACCTGGTATACCAAGTTTAAACCGGCTACTACGAACCTGGTGTGTCAAGGAAAGTCTAGTGTCGAGGACAAGCCGAAGATTAACCATAAGGATAAGCTTCCAATTATGTAGCTATTATCAAGGCAAAATGTGGATATCAAGCATAATCTGGTTTCAAGGACAGGCTTAAAATTGTGTATCTGTTATCAAGGCAAGATGTGTATTATGTTCAAGGATAATCTGATGTCAAGGACAAGCTGACAATCTGGTGTCCAAGGCAAGGTGTGTATTATGTGCCAAGGACAAAGAAATAGACTAGTAGAGCATACGGGAACTTCAACAATGTCTCGTGACCGAGGATTATAACACTTGTGGACAAGAGAGTGTGTTTGAGAAATGACATTTTATGTGTGTTATGTGATAGGGTGCTTGAAGAAAAGGTTCCCGTTTCTTGAAGCAGGCTTTGTGGTGCTGAAGTGTCGACAGTATGGACGTATGGAGATACACGGGGTGAGAGGACATTTGTGTAACTGTGAAGGGATAACAACCAATACTTCATCATCATCAAAGACACATTTTATCTTTTGAAGTCATTTTTCAAATACGCCATTGTCACTGGCTACCAAATGAAATCCCTGCACTCCATTCCTCATGATAAACCTTCGGGATGTTTAGGCCTCAGCAAAAGAATATTTGTTTGTCAAATTAACTTTCGTTCGGGAAGTTAATGGCTTCGAGATAATACAATTACTTCAATAGTAACTTAATTAGTTCTGAAGAATGGGGTGTTCTAAGCACACGTAAGTGTATCATATATTTGAAGACATTCCAGTGGGTACACACTGTTTCGTTCAGAGAGTTAAAACAATATTGTTCTGTGCACTTGGTGGCTCGAAGGATTCATAATGTAGCCCTAATTCTGTCGACAACTTGAAGATCATGCCTCTGGTTATAAATAACCTCGTAAATAATCTTCGGAAAACAGACAACAATTTACAAACAATTCATTTGTTGTGGCCTAATGATTATTTTATGGGCATCCGGTACAACCTTAACCTGACATGACATATCTGTACTGACTTTTTGCACTCACTCGTCAATTACCTTATTGACAGGCCAAACAATAACATCAATACTTTATACTTTCCAGAGCTGCTGTCCATCTTTTGGTTACAGAACAAGGATTGAGTAATGTTATTGGATTAAAACTAATGTTGACATATAAGGGGTGTTGAATTTCTGAAAGAGCCCACAATGTTGGCCACATAACATATTGGCAACTAAACATAAATCAAACATATTAAAGTTACATCAAGCGTGTCATAAGCCACATCAAACGTGTCATAAGCCAACTCAAACATGCTCTCAGTCACGTCAAACATGTCATAAGCCATATCACACATGACAAGCCATATCATACATTCCATTAGTCAAATCAAACATGCCATAAGCCACATCAAACATACCATAAGCCATATCACACATGACAAGCCATATCAAACATACCATTAGTCACATCAAACATACCATAAGCCATATCACACATGACAAGCCATATCATACATACCATTAGTCACGTCAAACATACCATTAGTCACATCAAACATTTCATAAGCCATATCACACATGACAAGCCATATCAAACATACCATTAGTCACATCAAACATACCATAAGCCATATCACACATGACAAGCCATATCATACATACCATTAGTCACGTCAAACATACCATTAGTCACATCAAACATTTCATAAGCCATATCACACATGACAAGCCATATCAAACATACCATTAGTCACATCAAACATGCCATAAGTCACATGAAATGTCTTTATTGATATCTCCTAAAATGACATTCAACATCCCAAAATAGTAATACCGTATTTGCTCCAGAGTCGCCTCTATTTAGGAATGTGTCGAAATTACGAACTGGGCCTCGTGTAAGGACTGGGTCAATTAAGACTAATGATTTCTCACCATGGCTTCAGAAAACCATGTGTGTGTACCATATATTGTATTCAACTACAATTCTGTGCCGAAAGCAACTTTTAAAAAAGTGTAATTGCTTGTTTTTAAGGCATTAAAAAGAGCGTGCCATTTTTTTCAAATAAACATTTCGGCTTTAACATAAATGTTCCACTACAGCAAACAAACCGACGGGAAAGACAAGTAAAGTTATGAGGGTCTCGGCTCTTTGTGGAGGAAATACGGTATGTAAAATTGGGTCATCCTAAATAACAAGTCACACGAGATGGGCATATCAGGCGACTCCGGGAAGAGAATAAAGCATGTTATGTAAACCTAAAATGTTCACACAAGATGCCAAAGAACATTTCTGTTCATTTGTACCTCAATGTTCTCCTGCTCATGTATGCGGTATCTTGTACGTTGCGGTGTGTCACAAACCGAGCTTCAGTCACACCGCCATTCGCTTTTGTCGTTTGTATGCTTTTATGGGACATAAAATATACACGTTTAAAATTTCCAACACATGTAGTGTAGAATTCATAAGTACAACAGCCAGTCATCTTCTTCAGTAATATGAGCTTCATCTTCTTATAGTATCCCACCAAGGCCTCCGATTCTTGCCAAACAATGGTATTTGAGTACTAGACGTCTCGGTAGAA